AGGCTGAACATATAATCACAGCGCATTTAATGTACGCCCGTCACTATTCTCTGTCTCTAAATTGAACAATAGATGGCGAATTAACATATTGCAGCATTGATACCAGGAGGGTCAGGGTCGTGCTTTTGAAAAAGTGTCACGTTAGTTCTATTTATTTTTCGTATTTTACCAATTCATAATTAACATTTTTATTTCACAATTAAAATTAATATCAATTCATACTTTTGTAATTACCAGCCGTAAATAGATTTAAATTTGCAATCATATTTTTTATCTTTGAAAATAGATTTACATTTGCAATCTTTTTTTTTTTTACCTTTAAAAATGGACTTACAATTGAATATTTACTTTTATTTTTGAAAATGTTGTCGCCCATAGCTAATTGACCTTTAACCTTAACTGCTTACGAATCGTCAATCAAGACAAGTATTCGGTTTAACGACGCTGTAAAGCGTAAGACCGCGAATAGCGTGGATATATAAGTGAGATAGCCAAATGTTGGTTTCTGTGATCGTTGTCAGGTAGCTTCACAGTTTTGCATTTATGGCGCCTATATTCGCACATATCGATCGTACTAAAGTGTGTTTGACATACAATGAGTCATAAATGAAACCACTGACAAATATTTGGTAACTTCACTATATCGGCTGGTATCTACTGTAAGTCGAGTCTGTATGCAGGTGTGGGGATATCGGCTGATATCTACTGTATGTCTAGCCTGTATGCAGGTGTGGGGATATCATCTGGTATCTACCGTATGTCTAGCCTGTATGCAGAGGTGGGGATATCGGCTGGTATCTACCGTATGTCTAGCCTGTATGCAGGGGTGGAGATATCAGCTGGTATCTACTGTATGTCTAGCCTGTATCCAGGGGTGGGGATATCGGCTGGTGTCTACTGTACGTCTAGTGTGTATGCAGGTACGGTGTGGGGATATCGGCTGGTATCTACTGTATGTCTAGCCTGTATGCAGGTGTGAGGATATCGGCTGGTATCTACTGTATGTCTAGCCTGTATGCAGGGGTGGAGATATCGACTGGTATCTACTGTATGTCTAGCCTGTATCCAGGGGTGGGGATATCGGCTGGTATCTACTGTATGTCTAGTCTGTATGCAGGGGTGGAGATATCGGCTGGTATCTACTGTATGTCTAGCCTGTGTGCAGGGGTGGGGATTTCGGCTGGTGTCTACTGTATGTCTAGCTTGTATGCAGGGGTGGGGATATCGGCGGGTATCTACTGTATGTCTAGCCTGTATGCAGGGGAGGGGATATCGGCTGGTATCTACTGTACGTCTAGCCTGTATGCAGGGGTGGAGATATCGACTGGTATCTACTGTATGTCTAGCCTGTATCCAGGGGTGGGGATATCGGCTGGTATCTACTGTATGTCTAGCCTGTATGCAGGTGTGGAGATATCGGCTGGTATCTACTGTATGTCTAGCCTGTATGCAGGGGAGGGGATATCGGCTGGTGTCTACTGTATGTCTAGCCTGTATGCAGGTGTGGAGATATCGGCTGGTATATACTGTATGTCTAGCCTGTATGCAGGGGTGGAGATATCGACTGGTATCTACTGTATGTCTAGCCTGTATGCAGGGGTGGAGATATCGGCTGGTATATACTGTATGTCTAGCCTGTATGCAGGGGTGGAGATATCGACTGGTATGTACTGTATGTCTAGCCTGTATGCAGGGGTGGAGATATCGGCTGGTATCTACTGTATGTCTAGCCTGTATGCAGGGGTGGAGATATCGGCTGGTGTCTACTGTATGTCAAGTCTGTATGCAGGTGTGGAGATAACGGCTGGTATCTACTGTATGTCTAGCCTGTATCCAGGGGTGGAGATATCGGCTGGTATCTACTGTATGTCTAGTCTGTATGCAGGGGTGGAGATATCGGCTGGTATCTACTGTATGTCTAGCCTGTATCCAGGGGTGGAGATATCGGCTGGTATCTACTGTATGTCTAGCCTGTGTCCAGGGGTGGAGATATCGGCTGGTATCTACTGTATGTCTAGCCTGTATGGAGGTGTGGAGATATCGGCTGGTATCTACTGTATGTCTAGCCTGTATGCAGGGGTGGGGATATCGGCTGGTATCTACTGTATGTCTAGCCTGTATCCAGAGGTGGAGATATCGGCTGGTATCTACTGTATGTCAA